CGCAAGCCCGCGTGGTCACGTGCGCGGTCAGGCCCCGCCCACCCGCGCGGAGGGGCGGGGTTATGCAAATCAGCCGGAATGGGCGTGGCTCTGACGCAGCCCGGGGGCGGGGCATGCGGCGGGAGCGGCGGCGCGCGCCATGGGGCCGGGGGAGCCCGACCTGTACCGGGACACGTGGGTCCGATACCTGGGTGAGCACCGGGCACCGACACCGGGCACCGACACCGAGCTCTGACACCGGGAACCGGGCACTGACATTGAGCTCTGACACCGGGAACCGGGCACTGACATTGAGTACAGAGCACTGACACCGGCGCCGGGAGCTACGGGAGCAGGGCACTGACACCGGGAACCGGGTACTGACATCGGGCACCAGCACCGGGCGCTGACACCGGCTACAGGCAGGGGACTTGGGCATTGACATTGAGCACTAACATCAAATACTATCACCGGGACCTGGGCACTGACATAGGGTACCGGCTGCACAAACGGGGCAGTGATACCGGACACCGACCCCTGTCGCAGGGTACCGACCACGGGGATTGGCCATTGACACACCGGACACGGGCAGCAACATCAGGCACCACAGCAGGAACCAGGCACTGACAGCCGGCCCTGCTTTAGGGACGTGACCCCAGACACCGTGTCGGGTACCGGGCACCATGCACTGCACTGCCCGGGTACCGGGCACCGACACCCAGCACTGGGACCACGGAGTGCGCTGGCTCCGTGGTACTGGGTACTGACACCCAGCACCAAGTACCAGGCACTGATCTGGGGCTCTGGTACCACACAGCAGGCCCTGGCACTGCACACTGCATGGCACAGCACACAGGGTAACAGCACTGCACACCAGCGCCAGGTACCTGTCACTGTCACCGACACTGGCTGGTGGCATCATCCACCAGCACCGTGCACAGACACTGGGTACCAGGACCAGTTACTGGCTCCTGCCAGGCACTGGGCATAGATAGACACCAGAAGTGGGCACTGTCACTAGCACTGGGCAGTCACAGACACCAGCCCTGGCAGCGGTCACTCCCAGCCCAGCTGTCCTGCTGCAGTGGGTCCAAGGAGACCCAGGCACTCCAAACGCCCCCTGTGCAGCATCCATCCAGTGACACTGCACGGGTGACATGGGGACAGTCGGTCCCTGACCCTACCATCCCTCAGGTTATGCCAACGAGGTGGGCGAGTCCTTCCGCCCACTGGTGCCAGTGCCGGTGGTGTGGGCCAGCTACGGCGTGGCCACCGCCTACGTGACCGCCGACGCCATCGACAAGGGTCGGAAAGCCTCCACCGTGAGTGCCACCCCCTCCTCACCCCCCAGCCTCTCCCTCCCTGCCCTTCCACCGACCCCTGTGTCCCCCCAGGCCCACGCACAGGACCCCACCCGCGTGGGGGTGGCCGTGGTGGACACCTTCGTGTGGCAGAGCCTGGCCTCGGTGGCCATCCCCGGCTTCACCATCAACCGGCTCTGCGCCGCCTCGCTGGCCCTGCTGGGGTCCCTGACCCGCTGGCCTCTGCCCGTGCGCCGCTGGACCACCACTGCCCTGGGGCTGGCTGCCATCCCCCTCATCATCACCCCCATCGACAGGTACAGGACACCCCTGGGGTGGGGGGACAGGTGGAGCCACCACCCCATCCCCGCAGCCCAGAGGGATGGAGCACATTTGTCCCGTCGGAGACCGGTCCCAGTATGGGCTTGGGGCTGGGAGCAGAGGGTGGTGAAAGATGTCTCCACTCCCGAGGGGCTTTGCTGGGGTCCAGCCAGGACATGTCCCTGCCAGGATGGGGATTATCCGGAGCTGAGCCGGGATTAGCACGGTGAGGCTGTACTAAACCTGGTTTTGGTGGCGCTGGTGTCTCGGGGGATGTTAAGGACAGCCCCACCCATCCCACATCAGATCCAGTGCCCCAGCCACACCCCGAGCCCCGCTGACGCCCTCTCCTGCTGCAGGACCGTGGATTTCCTGATGGATTCCAGCCTCCGCAAGCTTTACAGGACACCAGGAGAGCCCCCGACGTCCCACTGAGCACCACCCTGCACGCTCTGGGGAAACTGAGGCATGCTGCTGTGACCCACCTACTGTGACCCCTCACTCTGGTGACCCCCAGAGTGGCCACCCTGCCCCACACTGGTCCTAATAAACCATTTCAAACGTGACCCCTGATGGGTGATGCTGAGGTGCCACCACAGCCAGGCCGTATCCTCACCTGGGGGACACATGGGTCTGGGAGGTCCCAATCCCTCAGGCGTCTCCACCTGGGAGAGGGGGTCTCTGCCTGCCCAGAGCAGCCCTGCTGTCCCCACCCTGGAACCTCTCCATCTCCACAGCCTCATGGGACATCCTGGGGATGTCCCCAAGGAGCTGTCACCATGTTCATGGTCTCCAAGGACATGAGAGGCACCCAGCCAGAAGCCACCATCTCCTGCACCACAGGCTGGAGGTGCCACAACACCTGGAAGCCACAGGAAGCTGGAGATGTGGCTTGCCAGTGTAGGGGCACATCTCCATCCCTTGGTGACATCCACATGCTACCAACCAGGAGAAGCTTTGGAGGAAGCAAAACCACATTTATTGGCGAGTAAGAGACTCTGGTCCCATCTTGCCCTGTTTCTCTGTCTCCCTGAGGACCAGGGCCCCCACCACACTCTGCAGCTCAACCTGGAAGGGACACCTCTGCCTCGGTGGCTGCTGTCCCCGCTGGGGTCTGCGCAGGTGCCAGGTGTTCAGGGCCAGCCCCAGCAGCACCCCCAGCATGGCACTGCCCACCAGGGCCAGCCCAGCCAGCAGGAACCTCTTCACTGTCCAGCAGCATGCTGAGAATGGCAAAAAACACACCTAGGGGTCAGAAGGGGGTTCAGCACAAGGGGTGGGGGTTTTGGGGACATGGGAGAGGGTTGGGGTGTCCCTCACCTTCATACCACGGCAGCTTCTCCTTCTGCACCAGCACTGGTCCAACTGTCTCCCAGTGGAGTGTCCCCTCTCCTGGGCATGCTGTGGGAGGATATGTTCAATGCAGTCCAGCCCCGGTCCAGGAGCCCTCCCAAGACCCCAAAACAACCTGGGACCGCCCTGTCCCATCCCTGGTACCTGGCATGTCTCCACGGAGGGTGTCAGCAGCAGGACAGCCGGTGTCACAGCAGTGGCACGGGGTACTCCGGACAGGGTCCTCTGCGTTGTGCCAGCTGGGAGAGGAGAGGTCAGAAGTGTGTGGGGGGATGGTTCTAGGGGCCCCCAGACTCCACCACGAGACCCACATGGTGCCACCCCAGGGGAGATGTCTCCAAGCACTTTCACAACATGGGGGAGCTGGGACCTTTGGCAATGCCACCAGCTACCATTGACTAAGAGGTAACATCCACAGTGGGGTGACTTGGGTGGGTTCTGCCCCAACACACCCACAGGGTGCTTGTGTCCCCGGACACCCAGCGTACCTGGCCGTGGTGTGGCTGTAGAAGCAGGACCTGGTGGCACGGCCTTGTCCCCATGCCATCAGCAGGCAGTGCACGTAGACCTGCTGAGACACCATGTCCTTCCTCAGGGACCCTGCTCTCCTTCCACACGACCCTGTGGGGCTGAGGCCACCCCAGCAGGAGCACTGTGTCTCAGGATGGACAATGTTTTGGGACACCCAGGTCAACCCCCTCCCTGGGATCTCCATCCCACCACCAAGGGCGTCATCCCCACCTCACCTGCTCTTCCTCGGGCTCACCCTCCAGCGTAGGGGCCAGGATGGAGAGCTGGAGGACAGACTCCCCTCTCTGGTGCTGCACAGACACGTTCCCCAGCTTCTCCCCGTGCAGGCACCTGTGGCAGGAGAGTGACACAGGACATTCCATGGCTCTGGGCATCCCTTTCCATCAGGAGGTCCTGCAGGACCCAGGGGTGGCTGGAGAAGGAGCCCCTGCTTCCTGCCCCACCAGCACTGACCCACGGCTGTTCACCACCATGAAGATTCTCCTGGTGTGTCCTGGCTGCTCCGTGGTGGTCCAGTAGCACTGATCCACGTGGATCTTCATGGAGATGCTGGGACTGAAGTGGACACTGGCTTCCAGGTGGATCATAGAGCCAGGGCTGAGCACTGGAAGTTTCTCTGGAGTGGCACTGGAGTCCTCTGAAAAATATGGGTTAAGTGTGACACCCTCAAACCTATCCCAGCAGAGACAGGGCACCAGACACGTCCCAGACAACTATCCCTAGAATTCCCCCTTTCAGAGCCCACCCCCCATCCTGGCTCTGCCCCCCAGGCCTGCCTTTCCTGCTCTCAGATCTACAGCACCTTCCTGGACCCCCCAGGAGCTGAGAGGGACCATGTCCCCCATCAGGGGCAGAGCTGACCCCCAGACCCCATTGTAGTATCAGGCACAGGACTGGGAACATCTCAAAGCCCTACACCCTCCACAAGGACAGGGGGCAGTTCCTGCAGGGACTGCCACTGTTCCTGGTGGTCCTAGTGCTGGGGCCAGCCAGGAGAGGCACTGACTGCTGCTGGTTGAGCCTCAGGGTCTTGGCTGGACCCATCCCATGGTCTCACCCCCCCTGTGTTTTCCTGCAGCACTCACCATGCAGGAGCCTCAAGGTGAAGTTCATGATGGGCTCCTCAGCGTGGGGGTGAGCAGGAACTCTCCCTGTCCCTGTGCCTGAGGACATCACTGGAGCTGTCACCGTGGGACCAGGGGGCTCTGAGGCAACTGGAGCCATGGTGGTCCCTGAAAGGGGAGGCCTGAGCCAGCAGTAGCATGTCCCAGACACAGCAAGGACATCCAGGTCCTCAGGTGTCCCTAGGGCTTGTTTGGGACAGGTGGCAGCAGCACAAAGGCAGGGAGAGCACCAGGGAGCACATCAGGGGCTCCTCTGTCCCCAGCCCCACCCCGGGAGGAATATACCAGGAGCATTCCCAGCACCGTGACCCTGCCCAGGGCTGGGGACAGACCAGGAGCTGCTCGTGGAGTGGGACACCACTGTCAGCAGCCACAGACCCACCCAGGACCCACCAGCCCTGCTGGGACATCAGGGAAGCTCCTGGCAGCCCCTTGCCCCAATCCTCAGAGCTTGGGATCATTTTAGGAAGGCTCCTCTACCCCAGGCCAGCCCCCAGGTGACCATCAGGAACCAGCACTGAGTGAAGCAAGGGGCACCCACCACCCCCAGGACAACCAGTGGGAGGAATGAAGGGGGATCCCAGCCCCACTCACCTGCCACCTCCAGCACAGCCCCACACACCAGCACCAGCAAGCACAGCTCTATCCCAGTGAGCAGCATCCCCACCCCACCAGCTGGGGGTCTTTAAGGACGTGGGGCTGGGTGCCAATGGGTCCCAGCTGGCACTGATGGTGTTGGGGGCTTTGCTTGGTCTCTGCAGCCATTGGCAGCCCCACACCTGGGGCTGGTCCCATCCCTCACACTTTCCCAGTCCCACCACAAGAGCCTGTGCCCATCTTCCGGTCCCCATTCTACCCCACAGTCCCAGTGCCACCACTCAGACTGGTCCTGCAGGTGGTCCTGAGCATGATCCCATAACCACCAGTTAGTCCTGGTCCCATACATGCCAATCAGTCCTGTTCCCAGGTGTGGTCCTGGTCCTCAGGAAGGTGCAGATCCCACCATGAGGTCCCATCCCCAGCAGTTAGTCCTGGTCCTGTGCGTGGTGCTGCTCCACCATGTCCTTTTACTCCTGCACATGGTCCTGATCCAGCCAATTTGCCCTGATCCTAGATCCCAGTTCTCCATGGCCTGGTCCCATCACTCAGCCTTGGTCCCTTGGATGTCCCTGGTCGCACCGCAAGGTTCTTAACCCACCACAGTTTTGACTCCACCATTGTCAGGATCCCATGGCTGATCCTGGTCCCACCAGAGAGTCTCAGTCCCCGTCCCCAGCTCCCCTCCTTGTCCCATCACAGCTCTGCTGCAGAGGAACACCACCTGGGAGCGGCAGCTCAGTCACAGCCAGGACACAGACCTGGGGAAGCGCTTGTGTCCCTGGGTCCTGCCTGCCTCAGGAGTCCCCATCACAGCCCCACCACAGGCCTCCTCTGACTGGGCTGACTGGTGGCCTGGGTGCAGAGGGAATGTGGAGAAGTCCCAGTGCAAGTCCCGTGGCCACCCCTGAAGGAAGGTGCCCCCCACCAGCAGCAGAGCTGGAACACGGTGGCACGAGTGGTTTGTGTCACCAGTGGTGGCTGGTCCCATGGCTCGCCTGTCCCTGTGAAGCCAGCAGATCTTCCTGGGGGCACCTGCACACCATGGGGGTGTCCCCCAGCACCCAGCAGGGACACTGGAGACAGACCCAAGCGCCCCACTCGCACTGAGGGTCTCATTGCTCAGCACTGCCGGGGGGCACGGGGCCCTCCTCCCCCAGGACTGATGGGGACAGTGGTGTCAGGACCCTGGGGAGCTCCCAGGAGCAGGGGCTGGCTGAACATCCTGCTGTGGCTCTAAGAACACCCTGACCCCATCCACCCCATCCCAGAGAAGGAGGAGATGGCTGGAGACCAGCTAGACCATCCTTATATCCAAAACTACCAAACGTACAATTATATTACAAAAGTAAATTGTTTTTTTATTTCTGGTCTTTACAGAAGGAGCAGAACACAGGTGGGGGGGACAAGGGGGTCCCTTTGCTGGGGGGTGGCTCAGCCACAGGTGCCACTCTTGTGCCCAGCCAGGGCTACTCTCCGTGGGACACGGTGTCACCAGTGTCATCCAGCCCAGCTGGGATGCACGAGGTTTGTCCCCAAGGCAGGGTGGGGACTGGGGCAGCCCCGGCCCTCAGCATCCCCACCGTGCCCCGGATGGCATCACGGGGACAGTCCCACTGCACCTGCTCCCATCTCCTCCCCACACCAGTTGTCACCAGACCCTGTTGGCCTTTTGGGATGTCCCCTGTGGGGACCAGGGCCATGGGCTCCTCTAACTGGGACGATGGGGGCAGTGAGGCAGTGAGGGTGTGCCCTTTGCCACGGGGACCTGTTGATAAAGGTGGGGGCTTTTGGGATGGGTTTTCCAATCTCCAAATGGCTCCGGGTCACAGCCTGGCATGGAGTGATGGCTGTGGGTGGGCTGAGAACATGCTGCACTCATCACACCCATGAGCTGAGGCAGTGCAGCAGGTTCTGACATTCCCACACCCCAAAAGCAGGACTCAGTGGGGTGATTTGAGGAGCACCTGGAGGGTTGGGTTCCCTGTGGGCATCTCTGCCCACCTCGGGCAAGGGAGACCCTCTACCACTGCTGTCCCAGCACATCCCTGCCTGCAGCCAGCAACCTGGTGATGCATGCTGCTCCCGCTGTGATGAGGCCACATCCTTCACAAATCCCCACTCCAGCTTTTCTGTGGGGAAGGAAGAAGTGGATCCTGCAGGAAAACACCACCCCTGAGCCCCCAGTCCTTGACTCCGCTGATGGAGGCAGAGTCCCTGCTCTCCTGCGCAAGCTGGAGCTCTGCAGGAAGGTGATGGAGGGTCCCCCGAAAAGTTCCTGGGCTCCAGAGCCTCCAGCCAGTTCCAAACCAAGAGAACCATGAGTAACAAAAACAAAAGCACCTGGTTCTTCCCCAGGGAAGCGGGGCACCTGCCAGCCCCTACCACTTGAGGAAGTCCCGCACGTAGCTCCATAGCTTGGTGATCCAGAGGTTGGCCCCCAGGTCAGTCAGGTACTGGATTTCGGGCGTCAGCATCTTGCGGCACAGCTTCTGGTGCTTCTTGCTGATCTTCTTCTTCAAGTTGTACCCCAGGATGGTCTTCTCCCCCAGGGGCTGCCAGGGCTGCATGGAGGACTCCTGGATGGCGCTGGCATCCACGGCGTGTCCCCCGTCGATGCAGATGCTGGTCATCTTCTTGTTCTCCCTCTGCAGCTCGGCCACGTCCCTGGCCATCCTCTCCCTCCCGTAGGCCTCCACCTTGCGCCAGAAGGTGGCATTGAAGTAGCGGTAGAGCTTGGCGTCGATGAGGTTCCAGGCGGTCGCCTGCTCGTACAGCTCAGGGGTCAGCCGGGACACGGTGGAGCCCTTGCGGGCGTTGAGCTTGAAGTAGAGGATGTCCTCCAGCTGCCAACACAGCAGGTCCTTGAGCAGCACCAGCGACTCATCAAAGTACTCGAGCAACATGACGAGGTGGAAGCGGCGGTCGATCTCCTGGATGTGCTCCTCCACCAGCGGGCTGTTGGCGTCCATGCTGCTGTCGTAGCCAAAGTCGAAGAACAGGAGGTTTTGGAGGTAGTGAGCATTGAACCCATTGGGGTCGTAGTAGTGCTGGGGGTCCCGGAGGAACTCGTCCAGCTTATCCTCCCCCGTGATCTTCCAGGTGAGGGGGATGACGGGCCCGAAGTAGTGGAAGGAGGACTCAAAGAGGTAGGCGGGGTCCCGCAGCACCGTCACGAAGGTGGCGTCGGGCGGCAGGAGCTTGCGCACCTCCTCGTAGTGGAAGCGCATGTGGTTGCAGATGATGTTGAAGCACACCCCGGGCCGGTAGTGCTGCACCTGGCTGCGCTCGAAGAAGGACGGGTAGTAGAAGTCGTTGCGGCCGTTGGGGAAGGCGAATTTCAGGCGATGCTTCTCCCCAAAGCGGAAGAGGATGTTGAGGATGGTGCTGCTGGCGGTCTTGTGGGTCTTCATGAACATGACGTTGAGCTTGGGCCGGCAGCTCCACCCCGAGGCGCTGCCTGTGCCATTGGGTGGGGATGGAGCCTGGACCCGGGACAGGTGGGAGGAGCAGGAGAAGGGGACGGGGATCCTGGGTGGGAGAAGAGGTGGAGCACCGTGGTGAGAGTGGCACTGGCACTTTGAAGGCTCAGGGATAGTCTGTGCCAGTGGGAACTGGATCTGGGGGTGGGTTCTGGACCTGGGGACAGGTGCTGGACCTGGGAATGGGTTCTGGGAATGGGAATAGGTGCTGGAAATGGAAATAGCGCAGGGGATCTCCATGGGCATGGCCATGGTGGTCCTGGTGGAGGTGATTCCAAAAAGTGCATTAAGGGGAGCTCTCCATGGCCACAACTGCTTGGAGAGGAGCTGATAACATTTTTATGGGGTATGAAAGCTGGGCCCTGGAGGAACATGTGAGGACAC